TATTTCCTCTTTGAGGTCTGTCCAGCTTCCTATAGTTCTTAGGAGGGACTACCTTTTTGGGAACTTCTGTTGGTTTCTCCTTTTCCTTTCCTTTCTGCTTATTTGGTTTAGCAGTAGGTTTAGGAGGGATGAAAGTTGTTCTCCCTTTCCTTTTGGAACTGGAGGGGTCAAACCCAAGTCCTTTGCGACTCTTATGATTGGTCGTTTCAAGAAGCTTATCCACTGCTTCTTTGGACTTAAGTATCCCTAGTTCTTTGTTAAGGGATTTCACCTTTTCAGAGAGAGATTCATTTTCAGTCTTGAGTTGAGTGATCTCATTCAGTTGACTTTTCCGTCCTTCAGTCAACTTGAGATTCTCTTCACTCAATAGTTTGTTCTCCTCTGTTAAGGATGAATGTTTGAGATTTATTTCCTCAAAATCTACCATCATCTTTTTGAACTGGTCAAAAAGATTTTCAAAAGTTGGTATGCTTTCATAAGAAGATGAGCAGGAGGTTTGTGAGGTTACCTCTTGATCAGCATCATCTTTGGCCATTAGGCAGAGAGTGTCATCTTCTGACATAGTCCACCTGTCCTCATGGTTGGACCTCTCAGCTCTGCGCTCCATGCAAACGAGGGCTTCTTCATCTGAGCTTGAGCTGGATGACTCATCACTTTCAGCAGCAACCATTGCCTTCTTTTTCTTCTCGTTCCTTTCTCTTTCTCCGTATTTCTCCACCTTTGGGTACGGGCATGCTGACTTCCAGTGGCCAGGCTTCCTGCAGTTATAACATAAATAAGATTCAGGAGGGGAGTTACTTACTTATGGCTTTCCCTTGGTTGGCCTTCTGATTGAATCAGCCTTCTTGAAGAACTTCTTGAACTTCCAGAATTGCTTGACCATCATGGCAAATTCCTCATCGTAGTTCTCCATTTTTGAGCTTGGCGGCTGGCTGGAGGAAGGTGTGTCACAGCTTCTTGGGCATGTCCCTTCACTTGATGGGACTCTTGGAGTTGTCATCAATGCCGTGGGGAAGGGAGTGACTTGTTCTTCCTTCTTCTTCTTCAGCTCATGCTCATAGGTTCTGAGCTCGTCAAGGAGACCTTGGACAGTGTAGTTCTCCAGGTTTCTTCCTTCTTCCATGGCTGTGGCTTTGGTGTACCACTCAGTTGGAAGAGATCTCAGCAACCTTACATTCTTTTCTTTGGGAGAAAGAACGTGGTTAAGTGATGCAAGATCATTCAAGATTTTGTGGAATCTTTCATCCAACATATCAAATGATTCTCCGGGAAGCATTTTGAAGCCTTTGAACTTCTCAAGCAGGACTTCTATCTTCTGCTTTCTCAAGTCCTCTGATCCCTCACATAGCTTCCCAAGACCTTGCCATATCTCCATGGCAGTCTTGAGATGCTTGATTTTGGAGAAGGTGATGGGATCAAGTGTCTTGAAGATGGCTGCTTTGGCGACGTTGTCCAGATTGTGCTTTTTGCAATCTCTATCATCCCATTTTTC